CCCTCCCCGCCGGCCCCTCTCCCACGTATCTTGCACTCACCCACGATTTTCTCTTCACAAAATTCAGAATCCCTCTATTAACGCCTATTTCCTCTCTTCTTCCATAAGCATTCTAAATTTTTACTCTCTTCTTCAAAAAATCACCTCCACTAACGTCTGTACTTAGCTTGATTTTCAACGAAGAAAAAAATAACTTCAAAGAACAGCCCTAAAAAGGCAAAGGACCCGATATTCTTACATTTGATTTGGGTGTTTTCTTAGAGAATTCACCCAAAAAAAAGTTATTTGTTTGAATTGGGTGTTATTGCAAAGAATTGAGAATTCTCTCTACGTCTTTCTCTATCTCTCAATCCCTAATTTCAGTAATGTAACGCAAAGGAAAAGAGCAATTCCACCATTGACAGCCATTAAAAAGCTTTGAAGCTTTGAATTCGAATTTGGGTTTTGAAAAATCATTATTTGTTTGGATTTGGTGTTGTTGCAAACAATTGGGAATATGATTTGGAGTTTATATCTCAATTTTGAGGGTGTTTCGGTGAAGATTAGACTTGATTTTGGCTGAATTTCAGATTGAAACTCGAAGAAGAAGAAGAAGACATGATATACATTATATTTACGAAATTGTAGTAAAATTGTAGAAAAATTGTAGAAAATTTATATTTTGTTGTTTATATAAAATTTTTTATTTAACTATTGTATGAAAGTTGAACAATAATGTATAAAAATTATATTTAAGTTGTATGATATTGTAGTTGTATATAACTTAGTAGAAATAATGTATGAAAATTGTAGATAAGTTGAAGATAAGTTGTATAATATATAATTAGTTGTATGAAATTTATTTTTACTATGTATAACTCAAATACAAAATATACAAAAGACATATTGTATAAATTTTGTATAAAATTTGTATTTAAGTTGTATGTTATTGTAGTTGTATTTAATTGGGTGAAAATAATGTGTGAAAGTTGTAGAAAATTGTAGATAAGTTGTAGATAAATTGTATAATATATAATTAGTTATATGAAATTTATTTTTACTATGTATAAATCAGATACAAAATATACAAAAGACATATTGTATAAAAATTGTATTTAAGTGATATGATATTGATGGATTTCAGTCGGGTCATTTTTTGCTAGGACAATCGCCAAAATAGCTTAAACATTCAAAAATAGCTTAACCATTCAGAGATCATAATACCTCATGTAACATTTATTTGGAGTGAAAAAAACAAGGAGTTGGTAGAAGGTATTTCCTGGGTTAAGAAGCAGTAAGAAATCGGCGGGAAGCAGGAGTGAGGTCTGCTATATTTCCAAATTAGATTTGTCATATCTTCAAAACAAGATGGATAGGAGAAATATACGTCAGTTTCTTCTCTTTCACTCGCTTGACATCTAGTTCCGGTGAATAGGCAGAATTGTTTGCTCATTTTCCCATTGTAAACACAAACAAGGTCCAATGTCAAAAAGAGGAAGTAGTCGATATATCTGGAGAGAATATGAAGAGAAGAGGGGGAGAGAGGAGAAAAAAAAAGGAAAAGGGTATAACTAAATCCTTAATTGAAGGCACAAATAATGGATTGAGAGTTTTTTAAGGTGGATTGTATATATTTTGTAACTAAAATGTGTTTAGGTTGGGTAAATACCAATACATGGACATTTTTCGTAATAAGGTTTCAAATAGTGTATAGGAATGAAAAAATCCCATAAAATAAAATAGAAAGACTATAAAAAAGTATGATCTTGTTATAAATACAATTATATTTATGGTGAATGTCTATATTTAGAGAAATTCTAGGGTTCATTGCTTGGTGGCTAAGCCACCCTCTCCCTATAAATAGAGGGTTCTATTCCATTGTAATTCATCCCAAATATTAATAAGAATTCCCTCTCCCCACTTTTCCCTGCAATACTTTTCTTCTTCTTTTATTGTTTCATAACACGTTATCAGCACGAGACTCTAACCAATTGAGTAGAAGCTTTGGGATTGAGCATAATGATTGTCAATTATTCCATGAACTTCCTTCATGATTAAATTCTGGATTTAAGGTATGTATATTACCGTATTTTTCTCTTTTATTCTGTAATTTAATTTTAAATACAAGCAAAGACAATAAATTTTGATTACAACTCTAATGGAGTTTGTAAGAAATTATAACCACCTGAAGTGGTAAATTTTCTATGTCTTGCCATGATCAAAGTCATGTATGATCGTGAGCACAAGAAGTGAAAACCCGTCCCATTGAATTTGCTCCATTCTCATTCCCTTAAGAGAATGTGATAGCAATATGTGATAAGTCTGAAAGAAGACAAAATTATTACCATAAAGGTATCAATGGATGTGGACGTGGTAATAGACGAAATTATAATCGTCCTTATCGTGGTAATGAGAATAATAAGGATTCTCAAAATAAGCCTTCACTCTATAAAGTTAATGTTTGTCATCGATTTGACATAAGATTTCGTAAAGAACATACAGAGGACTATGGTCAATTCATGATGTGAATGTGACAACATCTGATTTATGAATACATATTCATTCTTGGAGGAATATGAATGTGCTAGTGGTAGTGAATATACCACACTCACCTCTAAAAGGAGGTTTGAGATGATATAAGGAAACAATGTCATTATTATGGCATGAATGGTCATTAGTCACGTACCTATTGTACGCCAAAATATTTTGGTAATGTGATTATTAAAAGACAACAGTAATGCAAGAAACAGATCTTGCATATAATTTTGACCATAACCATAATGGTATAACTTTCTCTTTAAAAGAGATATTCACCATATAGATGTTGATGGATATGTGGTAGTACCGAATTAATTGAGAGCTCTAGAAGAGCCAATTATTACTATTTTGGAGAAGCACAATTGACTACCAATAAGGTATTGTGTTGTAGTAAGTCTCAAAGAAACTTATTCAGTTTCCAAAGTATACGCAAAAACGGTTGATTATATTGAGACTAACAATAAAGGAAAGATTTAATATCTTCTATTACTACAACTTGTAGCTGGGTAATATGTATGTGAAAAGCTACCCGCTTTATTCTCCAGTTTGTACTACACAAATAAAAGAATACCACAATAAAGTGGATGTTTATTGATATAAAAACTCATATCATAATAAACTTGAAGTTTATTGATAATTGCACACGTCATGGTGTAAACCTGAACTTTATCAATATTGATAATTTATTCAGTTGGCATAATTGATTTAGCCATGTTAATTTAAGTATGATGTGCAAAAATAAAAGAGAATTCACATGGGTAAATATTAAAGAACTAGAAAGTTCTTTAAGAATTCTCTTATAATGCTTGTTCTCATTAATTAATTGACCAACTAAAATTGAGATTGAATCCCATGAATGCTGGAAATATCAAAGGTGAATATGGGCCCATTCACCCGCCATGTATACCACATAAGATGCATCTATGAGATGGTTACATGTGCAATTATTATTAACCCGCAACCTGGTCGGTGTGTGCGAGGTAACTTGCTCAATAATTTAATTTCGAGCATAATTTCCAGATTTCCTATTCAAGATAGTTTATCTTGATAAGTTGGTTTACATCACAGTTGGTTTAGCAAAATAATTTATTGAGTGCCTCCACTTAATACCTAAACTATTGCTTATGAGAACAAAGTTATCTATATCAGTTTGATATAGGTTATATGCGAAAGTATATTACATCTCCCCTCACAAGTGGTTTCAGGGTCAGGAACCAAATAATTCCATCTCATTATTATTGATGTGCGGTGTATATTTTGATTAACACCATAACGCACAAAGATGGGTTCTTAGAGTTGAGGAAACAAGTTAGTTTTTCTAACATGAGGGAGAGACATGATAAACAGTTGAGAAAAAGTTACGTGGAATGAATTATCATGTGTACATCTAGATCCTCGAATAAAATAATATGAACTTGAAGTTCATAAAAGGATAATTCATTTGCAATATATTGCAAAGCATGCCAGACGCATTTGCTGGCCCAAAGAAAGTAACTATATTCTCATTGCA